TACGCACCTGCCAGACCCAGATGGGGACTGCACAGCCCTCTGGGCCAGCTGCCAGTGGATTGTGCTTGCTGGGTTGGCCTCTGTGCGGCACTACTGCCATGTGTGCCCCCTGCCCTCCCATCTGGGCAGCTATCACCCGGAAGATGTTCCGGGTTTGGTGGCCTGCTTTGAACTGTCAAAACATGTCCTCCTGGCCCCATTTGGCCAGGAGGTCAGCCACAGCCAGCTGGGTCCAAGGAGCCAACTCTGAGCAAGCAGGGTCCTGCCACTGCTTGTGTGGGATTCAACCCCCACACAAGGGGTTCAGCCCACCAACAGGGGATTCAGCCCCCACACAAGGGGTTTGTACCCCCAACAGGGGATTTGGCCCCCCAAAACGTGTTTCATCCCCCAAACAAGTGTTTTGGTTCCCCAAAAGGGGGTTCAGCCCCCCCCACAAGGGGTTCGGTAACCCAACAGGGGGTTCACCCCCTCACAAGGCGTTCAGCACCCCAAAAAGGGGTTCATCCCCCACACAAGGGGTTTGCACCCACAACAGGGGATTCGACCCCCCCCACAGGAGTTTCAGCCTCCACACAAGGGGTTTAGCCCCCACACAAGGGGTATACCCCCCAGTGGGGGCCAAATGGCTCCTGCAGGGGCTATCATCCCCCCTGCAAGGCCCACATGCCCAAGCCCAGCCCCATGATTGCTGTTCCACCTGGCCCCATCTCCCACCAGCTGCTGCAGCTCCCCAGTGGCTGCCCCACCCAGCCTCACCCCACAATTTGCACCCCCAGGTCCCCATGGCTACCCTGACAACCCCAGGCACTGTCACTTAAAAAAACAAACCAGAAAAAAAAGAAAAAAAATCGCCTCTGCTTAACTTAGAAGCAAGGGTGGGGGGGCTCCAGGGCTCTAGCTCCATGGGCAGCACAGGACAGCAGGAGGTCAGGCTGGGGCCACTGGGGATGTCACCGTGCCCCACACTGTGTGGACAGGGCCCCACTCAGTCAGACCGCAGCTCCAACTGCCAGTAAGTGCCGGGTTTTTTTGA